GTGATGGGGGGGTGTGGGGGGGGTGGGTGGTGTGGCAGGGTGATGGGTGGTGTCAGGGTGATGGGTGGGGTGGCAGGGGGATGGGGGGGGTGGCGGGTGATGGGGGGGTTGGCAGAGTGATTTGGGGTGGGGGTGGCGGTGGGGTGGTGTGGCAGGGGGATGGGTGGTTGGGAGGGTGATGGGTGGTGTTGGGGTGTGGGTGGTGTGGGCAGGGTGATTTGTGTGTGGCAGGGTGATGGGGGTGTGCAGGGTGAAAGGGGGGTGTGGGTGATGGGGGTGTGGCAGGGGGATGGGGGGTGTGGCAGGGGTGATGGGGGGATCAGGGTGTGGGTGGGTGCAAGTGATGGGTGTGTGGCAGGGTGATGGGTGGTTTAGCAATTTTGGGGGGGGGATGTGTCAGGGGGGTGGGTTGGGGTGGAGGGTGATGGGGGTGTGGGAGGGTGATGGGGGGGGTGGTGTGGGTGGATGGGGGGGTTTATGGGGGTTGTGGGAGTGTGATGGGTGGTGTGGCGGGGTGATGGGTGGGTGGCAGGGGGATGGGGTGTTAGCAGGTGATGGGTGGTGTGGCAAAATGTGTGGGTGGTGTGGCGTGGTGGGGGCGGGCGTGTGATGATGGTGTAGCAGGGTGATGGGTGGGGGTTTGCAGGGGGATGGGTGGTGGCAGTTGATGGGTGGGGGGGGCAGGGGGATGGGTTTGGGTTGAGGGGTGTGGGGGGTGTGGGAGGTGATGGGGGTGTGGCGGGTGATGGGGGGGTGTCGGGGGAGGTTGGTGTAGAGGTGATGGGGGGTTTTCAGGGGGATGGTGGGTGTGGAGGGGGGTGATGGGTGGTGTGGAGGGGGGAGGGGTGGTTGGGAGGGTTTATGGGTGGTGTGGGGGGGGGTATGGGTGGGGGGGCAAGGGGGGGTGGTGGCGGGTGATGGGGGGTGTCGGGTATGGGTGGTGTTTAAAGGGTGATGGGGTGGGGTAGCAGGGGTAGGGTGGGGTGGCAGGGGGGAAGGGGGGTGTGGAGGGGTGTGGGTGGGGTGGGGGATGGGTGGTGTGAGAGTGGATGGGTGGTGTTTGGGGGGGGTGATGGGTGGTATAGGGGGATGGGTGGTGTGGGAATGATGGGGGGGCAGGGGTGGGTGGGGGCCAGGTGATGGGGGGGGTGTGCAGGGGAAGGGTGATGTGGAGGGTGAGGGTGGGGTCCCGGGTGTGGGTGGTTTGGGAGGGTGTGGGTGGTGTGGCAGGATAAGGGTGGGGGTGACGGGTGATGGGTGGGGTGCAGGGTTGGGTGGTTTCAGGGTGATGGGGTGGTTTTAGCAAAGGGTGGGGTTTTGGCAGGGTATTGGTTGGGGGGGTATGGTGGTTTCAGGGGTATGGGTGGTGTGAAGTGATTGGGGGGGGGGTTTCAGGGTGATGAGGGGTTTTTCAGGGTATTTTCAGGGTTGGGTGGTTGGGGTAGGGGGTTTTACAATATTTATCATGTATGTTTTTAAAAAGATATGGGGGGTTCAGGTGAGGATTCTGAGGGGGATTGGGGTCAGGGATTTTGGGAGGGTGAATTTGCATTATTGGGTAAAAGTGGTGGGTGGGTTTTAAAGGGTGTGGGGGGTTGATGGATGGGTTTGGTTTGCAAAGTTGGGTTGGGCGGGTGGGTTGTTTTTTTCTGGGGGGATTTTGGGGGGGCCAGGGTATGGTGTGTGGGGGGTATGGGGGGGGTCGGGTAATGGGTTTTTGAGTGGTGGGTGGTGTAGCAAGATGAGGGGTGGTGTAGTAGGGCGGTGGGTGGTTGTAGCAGGTCACTGGGCGATTGTAGCAGGATGGTGGGTTTCTCTATCAGGCAGGTTCCTGGTAATAGAAGGGTGATGGGAAGTGTAGCAGAGTGATGCGTGGTGTACCAGGGCGGTGGGTAGTTGCAGCAGGTCACTTTATGATTGTAGCAGGATGGTGGGTGGCTGTAGCAGGCATGTTCCTGGTAACAGAAGGGTGATGGGTATATGTATAAGTGTATTTATACGAAGTAGGAAGGTGGGTCAGGTAGTGAAGTGACTTGACTCATCGTGAATAGAGATGTCAGAGGTAACAACGCTTTTAATCCACGTTCTGAACACTCTTTTTCAGCTTGTGTGAAATATGTAATAAATACGTTCTTTTAACAATATATTTAATATAACTTATGTATCGTTTGATTGAAAAAAAAAAGAAATATAAGTGAATTTTAAAAGCAAAGGTGAAAAGGTATTTGCACATGATAGGGTATTAGGGAGGAATTTACCGAGGGATTTACTGAGGAAGATGTGAAAAACTTATGGCAATTATATGAGGATAATATATAGGATGATGCAGGAACTGGTAGAAGGAAATTGCTAAAAGAATGATGAGACTGGTTAGTTGGATATGTGCTTAAAACCGGTACTTGGAGAGATATTTTGTAACTTTTAAGGTAAGTGAAGGTTATAAGTTCTCTTTTTTAAACTGAGGGTAATATAATATTTGTAAGAGGCCTTAGTTTTAATGCGAGAGTAAGATGCTCGCCTGTGTGCATGAAGGGAGGAGGAATCTTAGATTTTAATAAGAGTAACATTATTATGAATGTGTGTGGATGTTGTGCAAATGATCAGAAAGAGATGATTGTGGATGTTATGAATGAGAAGAAGCTGGATGTCCTGGCTTTAAGTGAAATAAAGCTGAAGGAGGTGGGAGAGTTTCAGTGGAGAGGAATAAATGGGATTAGGTCAGGGGGTTCAAATAGAGTTAGAGCTAAAGAAGGAGTAGCAATAATGTTGAAGGATAAGATATGGCAGGAAAAGATAGACTATAAATGTATTAATTCAAGGATTATGTGGAGTAAAATAAAGGTTGGATGTGAAAAGTGGGTTATAGTAAGCGTATATGCACCTGGAGAAGAGAGAAGTGTAAAGGAGAGAGAGAGAAATTTTGGGAAATGTTGAGTGAATGTGTGGGGAGTTTTGAACCAAGTGTGAGAGTAATGGTGGTTGGGGATTTTAATGCTAAAGTGGGCAAAAATGTTGTGGAGAGAGTAGTAGGTAAATTTGGGGTGCCAGGGGTAAATAAAAATGGGGAGCCTTTAATTGAGCTATGTGTAGAAAGAGGTTTGGTAATAAGTAATACATATTTTATGAAAAAGAGGATAAATAAATATACAAGGTATGATGTAGCACGTAATGAAAGTAGTTTATTAGATTATGTATTGGTGGATAAAAGGTTGATGGGTAGGCTCCAGGATGTACATGTTTATAGAGGGGCAACTGATATATCGGATCATTATTTAGTTGTAGCTACAGTTAGAGTAAGAGGTAGATGGGAAAAGAGGAAAATGGCAACAACAAGCAAGAGGGAGGTGAAAGTGTATAAACTAAGGGAGGAGGAAGTTCAGGTGAGATATAAGCAACTATTGGCAGAAAGGTGGGCTAGTGCAAGTATAAGTAGTGGGGGGGGGTTGAAGAGGGTTGGAATAGTTTTACAAATGCAGTATTAGAATGTGGGGCACAAGTTTGTGGTTATAGGAGGGTGGGGGCAGGAGGAAAGAGGAGTGATTGGTGGGATGATGAAGTAAAGGGTGTGATAAAAGAGAAGAAGGTAGCTTATGAGAGGTTTTTACAAAGCAGAAGTGTTATAAGAAGAGCAGAGTATATGGAGAGTAAAGGAAAGGTGAAGAGAGTGGTGAGAGAGTGAAAAAGGAGAGCAGATGAAAGAGTGGGAGAGGCACTGTCAAGAAATTTTAATGAAAATAAGAAAAAAAATTGGAGTGAGTTAAACAAGTTAAGAAAGCCTAGAAAACGAATGGATTTGTCAGGTAATTTCATGCACTGGCCAGGGAGGTATACTATCTTTTAGGAGTGAAGAAGAACAGGATGTGAGTGTGGGGGAGGTGCGTAGAGGTAGTGCTTAGAGGTTACGTAGAATAAAGGGGGTAAAGCAGCTGGAACTGACGGGATCATGACAGAAATGTAAAAAGCAGGGGGGGATGTAGTGTTGGAGTGGTTGGTATTTTTGTTTAATAAATGTATGAAAGAGGGGAAGGTACCTAGGGATTGGCAGAGAGCGTGTATAGTCCCTTTATATAAAGGGAAGGGAGACAAAAGAGATTGTAAAAATTATAGAGGAATAAGTTTACTGAGTATACCAGGAAAATTGTACGGTAGGGTTATAATTGAAAGAATTAGAGGTAAGACAGAATGTAGGATTGCGGATGAGCAAGGAGGTTTTAGAGTGGGTAGGGGATGTGTAGATAAAGTGTTTACATTGAAGCATATATGTGAACAGTATTTAGATAAAGGTAGGGAAGTTTTTATTGCATTTATGGATTTAGAAAAGGCATATGATAGAGTGGATAGGGGAGCAATGTGGCAGATGTTACAAGTATATGGAATAGGTAGTAAGTTACTAAATGCTGTAAAGAGTTTTTATGAGGATAGTGAGGCTCAGGTTGGGGTGTGTAGAAGAGAGGGAGACTACTTCCCGGTAAAAGTAGGTCTTAGACAGGGATGTGTAATGTCACCAGGGTTGTTTAATATATTTATAGATGGGGTTGTAAAAGAAGTAAATGCTAGGGTGTTCGGGAGAGGGGTGGGATTAAATTATGGGGAATTAAATAGAAAATGGGAATTGACACAGTTGCTTTTTGCTGATGATACTGTGCTTATGGGAGATTCTAAAGAAAAATTGCAAAGGTTAGTGGATGAGGGGTATAGCAGATTACTGAGTAGTTTAGTAGATTAGTGAGTGTTGTAGCAGGGTGGGTGATGGTGTAGCAGAGTTGTGAGTAATGTAGCAGGGTGACTGGTTGGCGTAGCAGGGTGATGGATGAGTATATCAGGATTATGGGTGTATATAACAGGGTGATGGGTGAGTGCATCAGGGTAATGGGTGGATCTGGCAGGGTAATGGCTGGTTCTAGGAAGGTGGTTTTTGAGTGTAACTAGGTGGTGGATGGGTGTAGCAGTGTGATGGATGAGTGTATCACGATAGTGAGTGGGTTAGATATGGCACTGACCGGTTTAGAGACATGTGCGTTGTACTTGGCTGGGTGAAGAAGGCAGCAGTAGCGGTCGAAGGCCAGGAGGGAGAAGGTGATCGCTGCCTGGTGGTGCAGGAGAGGCAGCAGCAGTGCCTGGCCCGCACACAGCATCCGAGGGTAGGGCCAGCAGTGATACAGCGTCGGGTACACACTCCCAGGCACCACCACCGCCCCCTTCATCAGATCGCACAACCCAAGAGACGTCAGGAGCCACCGTGGCTGTCAGAGAAAGGTACTAGTGAGTCAGGATGACTGAAGCATTCCCATCCATCACCACGCCCTCGTGGTCAGGATGAGTGAGATATCCTCAGAATATTCATGAGTTTATGACTTATCGGCCTCACCCATAATGTACTCTCCCATAGCATCCCATAACCCATCCTGTACTCTCCCATAGCACCCCATAACCCATCTTGTACTCTCCCATAGCACCCCATAACCCATCTTGTACTCTTCTTATGACGTCTTTAAGACTGCAACTCATAAATATTGACGTAATCCATAAGTTATAACAGACAAAATTTCCTTCAAACAAAAATACACCAAAATAAAGGTAGGTCTGGGAGAACAAGACCTTCTGCCCAACACAAAAAGGAAAACTTGAGGTGTTTCTACACCTCAGTCTCGTACTCGGTCGATTACTCTCCCACCTGTTGAAAGACCTACGAGCGTCCATGGTAAATACCGAAGAGGGACCTAGGAATGAAGAATGAGACACTTGTGCAACTTTTGGGACTATTGTGGAAATGTTTCAGTTCAACACAGAAAAGAATAGTGGAAGATGAGGAATGGAAATGAAAAGACTAATTTCCCGATGCAAGGTGACACAAGAGACCGTTGCTTCACTCTATGTAGACATGCTAGACAGGATAGAATTCCTGTTACAGCTGTGTTTACTCATCCTTCTGACTCATCCTCCTGACTTCTCACAAGGCTAAAGGTACCTGCAAGAATCGGAACAGAGGTACACTCATCCTCCGGACCTTTCAGAGAATCATGGGTATCATGAAGGACCCCAGAAAAGGTACACTCACCCTACGAATCTTTCGATGGAACGAGAATACACAGAAACACCTCAACACTACAATGATTACAATGCTGGAACAAATTTCCAGCCACATTTCACCTCTCGTCTCCTGAATGTTTCCGAGTAAAGTAGTTGAACATCAGAGATAAACTCTCTGAAGGAAACATACACACAGGTACGAGGCACATTTACTCACCTGGAGAGACTGGACCTTTATGTACCTTTGTAACTTCTGCACAAGCATCGGGGCTCAGGACATAACTATGATGCATTTCGGTCGCTGCGCGATCTGAGATGTGTATCCCCGCAATCCATAACCCCAGCCTCCTCCACCTCAATGCACGTGATTGGAATATTAGCATTGCAATTTTGAAGGGAATCAGGAGAGGTATTAATAAGTCGTCATGGTATCAGTGGGTGACTCTTAGTGTCAACCTCAAGTGGTACTTGTTACCTCTGTAATATTGTCTTGATGTGGAAATTATTTTATTTAATTAACACATCGGCCGTCTCCCACCAAGGCAGGGTGGCTCGAAAAAGAAAAATTTCATCATCACTCACTCCATCACTGTCTTGTCAGAGGTACACTTACACTCATGTGCTAACTTTTTCTCTCTTACAACTCTCTTTACATCATTCCACCAATCGCTCTTCCCTCCCGCACCCACTTTCATGTGACCACAAACTTCTGCTGAACACTCTAACACTATATTCATAAACTTACCCCATACACAACATAATTGAGGTTCAGTCATGTATGCGCGGAGCCCCAGACCGACATAATGAGACTAGTCACGAGGGAGCATTCACCAAATTCAACTTCAATAACAAAAACATAAAGTGGGACCAAGTAAACCAAGTCCTAACCGATATAAGCTGGGAAGATATACTAAGCAACACAGACCCCAACTTATGCCTAGAACAGATTAACTCGGTAGCACTCGATGTATGCACAAGGCTTATTCCTCTAAGAAAAAGGAGGAGTAGATGTAAAACAGAAAGAGACAGGCGCTTCCCTTTACAGGCGCGGAAAAAAATAACAGAGCGGCTAAAAGAGGTCAATATATCTGAAATGCGTGGGGGAGACATGGTCAAGAATAGCAAGCATCGAACTTAAGCTAAAAGAATCCTTTAGGAGTCAGGAATCGCGGGAAGAACTAAAAGCCATAAATGAAATCGAAAGAAACCCAAAATATTTCTTCTCCTATGCCAAATCAAAATCCCAGAACAAAGTCCAGTATTGGGCCCCTACTTAAACAGATGGGTCCTACACAGATGACAACAAGGAAATGAGTTGAGCTACTCAGTCCCCAAAATGACTCTTTTTAGCAAGCCGCTAACGACTGAGAGTCGAAGATCAAAATGAATTTTTTTTTTTGAGAGAGCCACAAATTTGATTAACACAAGCCTATCCGATGTTATCTGACGCCAAAGGGCTTCGAACAGGCGATAAAGACATGCCCATGCACTCTGCCCCCGGGCCCAGACTCATGGGAAATCTGTGTTCATCAAGAACTGCAAGAAGCCCCCATCACGAGCCTTTTCCATCCTATGGAAGGGAGCATGGACACGGGGGTCGTCCCACAGTTAAATAAAAACAACAGACTAGCCCCCTCCCCCAAAGGGGGCAGTAAAGCAACAGCAAAGAACTACGACCAATAGCACTAACATCCCATATCATAAAATCTTTGAAGGGTCCTAAGAAGCAAGATTTACCACGAATAGAAACCCATCAGTTACACAACCCCGGGCAACATGGGTTTAGAACAGGTCGCTCCTGTCTGTCTCAACTATTGGAACCACTACGACAAGGTCCTAAATGCACTAGAAGACAAAAAGAATGCAGATGTAATAATATACAAGACTTTGCAAAGCCTTCGCAAGTGTGACCATGGCGTAATAGCGCACAAAATGCGTGCTAAAGGAATAACAGGAAAAGTCGGTCGATGGATCTATAATTTCCTCACTAACAGAACACAGAGAGTAGTCGTCAACAGAGTAAAGTCCGAGGCAGCTACGGTGAAAAGCTCTGTTCCACAAGGCACAGTACTCGCTCCCATCTTGTTCCTCATCCTTATATCCGACATAGACAAGGATGTCAGCCACAGCACCGTGTCTTCTTTGCAGATGACACCCGAATCTGCATGACAGTGTCTTCCATTGCAGACACTGCAAAGCTCCAGGCAGACATCAACCAAATCTTTCAGTGGGCTGCAGAAAAACAATATGAAGTTCAACGAGAGAAATTTCAATTACTCAGATATGGTAACATGAGGAAATTAAATCTTCATAGAGTACAAAACAAATTCTGGCCACAAATAGAGCGAAACACCCAACGTCAAAGACCTGGGAGTGATCATGTGGAGGATCTCACCTTCAAGGACCATAACATTGTATCAATCGCATCTGCTAGAAAAATGACAGGATGGATAATGAGAACCTTCAAACTAGGGAGGCCAAGCCCATGATGACACTCTTCAGGTCACTTGTTCTATCTAGGCTGGAATATTGCTGACACCTAACAGCACCTTTCAAGGCAGGTGAAATTGCCGACCTAGAAAATGTACAGAGAACTTTCACGGCGCGCATAACGGAGATAAAACACCTCAATTATTGGGAGCGCTTGAGGTTCCTAAACCTGTATTCCCTGGAACGCAGGAGGGAGAGATACATGATTATATACACTGGAAAATCCTAGAGGGACTAGTACCGAACTTGCACACGAAAATCACCCACTACGAAAGCAAAAGACTTGGCAGACGATGCACCATCCCCCCAATGAAAAGCAGGGGTGTCACTAGCACGTTAAGAGACCATACAATAAGTGTCAGGGGCCCGAGACTGTTCAACTGCCTCCCAGCACACATAAGGGGGATTACCAACAGACCCCTGGCAGTCTTCAAGCTGGCACTGGACAAGCACCTAAAGTCAGTTCCGGATCAGCCGGGCTGTGGCTCGTACGTTGGTTTGCGTGCAGCCAGCAGCAACAGCCTGGTTGATCAGGCTCTGATCCACCAGGAGGCCTGGTCTCAGACCGGGCCGCGGGGGCGTTGACCCCCGGAACTCTCTCCAGGTAATACATCTTCGACCCGTTGCCTATACTCTCACTAGCCCATCTATCCTCCAGCAGTTGTTTATATCTTACCCTAACTGTTTATAAACCTTCACTTATCTCTTACTTTCTGCTTCCATTTTCCTTGTATCCCATCTACCTTTTACTCTCACTGTAGCTACAATTAAAAAGTGATCTGACATATCTGTGGTCCCTCTTTAAACATGTACATCCTGAAGTCTACTAAACAGTCTTTTATCCACCAATACGTTGTCTAACAAACTACTTTCATTACTCCCTGTATCGTATAAAATTTCAGTTCAAAAATACAATTTTAGAGAGAGTTCGTCAGAGAGTCGTCAGGGTGAGAGAGAAAGTCAGAAACTATAGTCAGTGAATAAAGAACCGGACAGTAATAAGTAGGGAAAATAAGAAGTGGAGAGAGTAAGAAACAGGAGAGGAAAAAGCAGAAAGAACAAAAAATAGGAAAGAAACAGAAGAGTAATAGGAAGGGAGAGAGACTGAGAGATCATGTTTCAATCCACTTAACCTACATCTTACACTTGTAGTTCCCACAGCTCACACACAACGGCGCCACTGTCACCATCACCACCTGATGTTACTGACAACACCATAACACTGTCACCATCACCCACTTGATGTTACTGCCAACACCATAACACTGTCACCATCACCACCTGATGTTACTGCCAACACCATAACACTGTCACCATCACCCACTTGATGTTACTGACAACACCATAACACTGTCACCATCACCCACTTGATGTTACTGACAACACCATAACACTGTCACCATCACCCTTGATGTTACTGACAACACCATAACACTGTCACCATCACCCACTTGATGTTACAGCCAACACCATAACACTGTCACCATCACCCACTTGATGTTACTGACAACACCATAACACTGTCACCATCACCCACTTGATGTTACTGCCAACACCATAACACTGTCACCATCACCACTTGATGTTACTGACAACACCATAACACTGTCACCATCACCCACTTGATGTTACTGCCAACACCATAACACTGTCACCATCACCCACTTGATGTTACTGCCAACACCATAACACTGTCACCATCACCACCTGATGTTACTGCCAA